TTAGGTTAAGAAAACTGCCCTGCAGTGGCAGATGGCATCCAAAATCCCATTAGTACTGATGAGAACTCCTGGAGTCTGATTAGTGAAGAGATGATTGGATATCAGTGTTTAGAAAATGTGCCTGGCATACCAAATGTAAGCAGCTGTGTCGTCCCTAAGAAAACCAAACCACAGCTATACAGTTTTACAAGGAAATTTTATGTGGGAAAGCTCCCAAATAAGAACTCTGCTCTAGCTGTTGGTCTGATTGGTTTGACTTTTTTGTGCCTGCCCATCTCCAGCCAACATTGGGCATAAGTTAGAAGACATTTCTCTCAGCCGTATCCCTAACTTTCCTGTTAGGGAACTTTCCTGGTTTTAAATGGGATAACTTCAATTTGAAGTCTAGTCATCAAATTCCTACACCACAGCCTCTGTCAAGATTGCTCCCTTCCAAGCATGTCCGAGTAGTTCAGGTATCAAGTATGCCACAAAATTCCTCTTCATTTTTTTTTTCCTTTTCCCTTTTGTGTTCAACCTGAGGTGGAAAAGGACACTGAAGACAAAAATCTTCCCCTAAGGATGCCTTGCCTCTAACCCCATTTATCTCAGGGACTGAAAGTCAAAGTGCTTCTCCTCGTCTTGAACGTCAGGGGGCCACAACAGTGTACAGTCAGCATCTTAAAGGAAAGGACCCTAGGCTTTTAGGGATCAGTTGATCAAGCAGATTTGTGACCGAGACACCTTCAGCATTGCTTAGGATTAATGGATAGACTAGCAGATCATGGGCTGTTGGTGTCCTATACTCACCATCTCCCAGCTGGGTTATCTCAGTCTGAAAGTAGCTCTAGTTTAGACACAGTTGATGTTGTATCACCTGCAGAGCACATATTGAATCGCATTTGAGGTGACAAAATCAGAAGCCGCACTCATGAAACTAGAAAGGGAAGGGAATTACCTGCTTAGTAAGGGCTGGTTGCAAGGAATATCCCACCCTGGAAAGTCAGCAGCTGTGAACAACATTTCACGAGTCTTAACTGGAAATGATCCCTCTGTTTGCCCCCAGTTGGGACGAGGGTGGAAGTGTAATTTCTGCCTGAATTTCCCCTGCCACATGAGCAGTATTCATGTTTTCTCTTCACCAGTATTACAGTGACAGTCAAATACATTTGGTGGAATTTTAGGCATCTATCACATGCTGCTTATCTGCTGTTTTGAGACTGGCCCAAGGCATGGGCTAAGTAGGTGTTTGTTAGTAGTGTAAATCTGGAGTCACTGCACTGAAGTCAATGGGAAACTGAACTCAAGCCTTGGGTCATGGGCTGGAAGGAAGTGCATTGAACATCTGGGGTGGGGAGGAATGCATGAGTCACCCTGCAGCATCCTCCCTCTGGCAGATGCTCGGTGCAAAGTAAACATATTCTGGAGAATTTCGGTACGCAGTCGTTTCTCAGAAGGGAAGGAAGGGGCTTTTAAAGTCTATATGTGTGGGTGAAGGCATAAAAATACTGGTTAGATTCCATGGCTCATGGATCAAAGCAATTCACTTAGTATGACACTACTGCAGATGCTGTAATTGCCTCTAAGGCTGAGATTTGCTAGCATGACTAATGATTTTGAGTCGTGTATTTGAGACACTAGTGAGAGCCCTGATATTTTGGGTGCTTTTACCTCTGTCCTTAGACATAGCAGGGACTTAATTTATACCTAGAATTAACCTTCTGTTCTGATGCTGGGACAGAAGGAGCAGCCCCCGATCAGACTGGCTATACTGCTCTCCCAAGCTCACATCCATAAATGGCTCTCTCAATAGAAGCCAACCTTCTGGGTTAGTAAGTGGCTGGGTGAATTTTGCTGTTTGCTTTCTTTGCTAATAAGCTTCACTTCATATTAAGGTGTTACCTGTTCATGGCTGTTTTCATGCGAAAACATCTTTTATTTAGCAAACAATTGTTTGCGCAGCTATATTCCCAAGTGGGATTAGCTCGTAGTGTGACTGCTTGCTTTCCTCAGTCATCTGGTATTATTTCTGATCCCTGTCCAGATGAGTGCATGGTGAGTGCGAATAATAAATGGGGAGAGGATATGGTCAGGCTAACTGGGCCTTTGTTTCACTTAGAGGCAGGCTGGGAGCAGGCTCTGGAGCCAAGGCTGGGTGGGTTGGCAGGAACAGGGAATTTTAATTGATGTTTTAAATCTTACTTCCTCTGGCCAATTTGAGCCAGACTCCCTGAGATGTTAATGTAATATTAGGCAACTCTTCTATTGTTGACCTGATTAGATTTAAAACAAATTTTCTCTCACTGAGTTCACATGAAGTAGCCAAGTGTCCCACAAGTCCTTCCCATGAAGAATGTGACTCAGTCATTATCTAGTGAATGTAAATAACTCTGTGCTAGGAATCCAACCAGGAATTTTAGGCAGCTATAGCTGAAAAATATGTGATCATGTACATTTGATTATCTTAGTTAACTGTGTTTTGCCAGAACTATGGCCTGGGGGTTTGTAAACATGGACCCAAAACTCACAGTGTTGTGGGTGTTAGGTAACATCTGAAAAGTATCCGGTGACCTGAAGAGTGTTCTGGTGGAGCTGTCTACTTGTCCAGAATTTTGTGGCTGGATAAGGAACTTCTGGAGAAGCTGTTCTGTTTGGCTCTTCTTGTCTACTGGTTTGCAGTAAGAAGAAACAGGTGTCTTACTGACTCATGTGGTTACATCTTTAATTGAGCTTGACGACTACTGCAGTTTGGCTGAACACTTTTTAATATTTTTAAACATACCAGTGTTGAGGGTTGTCTTCATGCCACCTCCCTCAATATCCTGTGGGGCAGGGAGGAGCTTTGGGGCACCCACAGAACTGCCTCTCCTGCTCCTTTCCCTCCTTTTTGTGCTTCAAGGAGCACGCATGCAGAACGCCCATGTGTGCTGGCCGGGCTGAGGCTGTTTGTACCCGGTGCTGGATGCTCCTCATGTCCTCGTGTGGTTGCGATGCCATGATCTCCAGCTGGGGAGAGGATGGGGTGTTGCTATGGATTGGACACTGTAGGATTCCATGAGTTGCAGGTGGCTCAGTCTTTTATTGTTTCCCCTGGGTGTGAAGGAGGTGGGTTCAATTCCCACCAGAGGGTAATGGGGGCTGGAGGATTTTGCTGAGAAAGATGAACCCTTCGACAACAGGAGGGAGAGGTGATAGGTGATGGCAGAGCACAGTTGTTATAGTGGGAACTAACTGAATCTTACAGACAGGTAGAGAGAGATTTACCTTCCAGAAACAATGAGCTGACGGTGAGTAATGGAGAAGATGATCGGTGGATGAGGGATCTGGGTTCGAGGTGGGAGGAGAACAGCAGGGCTATTCTTCAAGGAAATTAAGTCAGCTTCCTACTCCTGCCCAGAGCAGACACCGACTGAATCACATCCACAGCACTGTCTCCCCCCCGTCGGAGTCTGGCATAGCCATGCACTCACATGTAAGCCTTGTAGTTGCTGCCGATTTTCTGGATTCGGATGTCGTACTTGGAGTCAATGAATGGCTCGGTGGTGGCGTAGGTTTTTGCCATGGCTACTATGCTGGCCATGTCCCGGAAGTCATGCTGGTTCTCAACTTTGACCTTGATTGCCAAAATCCAGTGAAAAAGTGACAAGAGCAAAAAGAACAGGAATACTTTGTGAGCAGAAGTCATCTCCACACCTGAATAGCACAATATTAGTTAAAAACCACACAGACAGAGCTGAGGACAGAGCATGGGTTGTGTGATTTAGAGAGAGAAGTTCCCCACACCAACACAACCCAGAGCAAATCAACCCCTTTCTCCTTCCTCATGCACAAGCCCTGGTAAACCTGGCACCAGGGAGGCAGCTAGACTTTTTCCCAGATGGCTCTTGCTAATGCTCGTTGCTTTTATGATGCTTCAGAAAAATATTTGATCTCTTAAGGGGCATTACTTCATTCAAACATTGGAACTGCTATTTCCCATATTAGGATGGATGAAAACAGAGTATTTTGGGTGGTCAGGAAATAGAAACCAATGCCATGAAATCAACAAGAGAGCTGGTTGCCTGCCACCTCTAGGCTTCGGTTCCCTGGCATTTCACATTGCACCTCGCCAAACTTTCTTTGATGAGTAGTGCAGGTCTCCTGGCTGGAAGCAAGCTGTGAAGGAGAAAGATGTCTCTGGGGGAGGCTGTGATTCTCGGGGAGATTTGTGTGAGTGCAATGCCATGGGCATGTGTGTGGGACAGCTGGTTGGGTGTTAGACTTGAGTCGCACTTGGAAATGAGAGGGCAGTGGCCTATGAGCTGGAGTTTTTCTGAGAAGCTGGCTTTTCACAGATTTGTGTTCAGTTATGAGAAATGCTCTGTATCTTATCCAAAGAAAAAAAAAAAGGAAGAAAGAAGGACCAAAACAGTAGAACCTCTAATGATATGATCAAATCTCTGCAAAATGTCATTGATTTGGGCGAGGAAAACTGAACAAGCAGGTAACAAGAACATAGTGGACAACTTCACCTCATTCATACTATCAACACCAGCCTTCAGTCTATTGGCAAAAACTTGTTTGGTGCATCAGAGAAACCTCTGCAAACCTTGTTCCTTAGGGCTGGATGGAATCAGCAAGGGTGGATTTATTGGTGGAAAAAGGACCGACACTGTGTGAGAAGGGTGAGCGAGTGACTTTCTTTACGTATCACCTACACTTTGCAGTTTGGTAACACTTTGAGACCACAGCTGGGGATTGCAGCCCCGCTTTGCTAAGCAACTACTCACTCGTGATGACAGGTCGGTTGGTCGGTCTCTGCCCCAGAAGAGTTTCCTAGCTGCATCAGTGTGTGTCTTAAAGGAGGGTGATGCCAGACTATGCGGAGCCGGCTGAAGGAAACGGATACAATGGTATTTGGTGTTTCTTCTCAAAGAACGAACAAGTGGTTTTACATATCTGCCTTCAACCATGAGAGGGCAGGAGCCATCTTCACTAGAGAACAGAGGACAAGCTTGTTGCTAACCTGTTTTACTGTGTTTAGATGGTTTTGTGTAAGTGCCAGCTGTAACATAAGCCAAAGATGCAGCCACATCCTGGTACAGAAAAGCTCTTGAGAACTGGACAGGTTGTGGGGAAGGTCAAAATTGCAACTAGTTTGACCCATGACCATTGCTAGATGCCTGAATAAGAATAAAAAAGAGCTTCTCCTGTTGCTGAATGCCACATACCCCTAGTCCTCCTCCCTTTGCTGTGGTGAAGGCTGTGCTCTCGCTATTCAGGGACCACTGAGGAAAGGAGCAGAGGAAGACAACAGTTGTCTGTGGTGTGGGAGGGTAGGAAAATAAAAGGAAATAACAAACACAAAGGAGAAATGTAAAGGCAACCATTGTACATCATCCAGGAGGAGCAGCCTTGCTCTGAGCTGTGTTGTTCCCCTCTGTCTGAGTGGGGCTACGTGTGGTGCTGGCTGCGCCTGGTGCGGCAGGGCAGGGTGAGGTGGTGGGAATGCCCCAGAGACAGTGGGGGGTGTGGGAGAGGGGAGCAGCTCACATGGGGGGAGCCCTCAGCCTGGGCACGGCTTGCAAAATACCAGGGGGAACAATGCAGGCTGGGTCGGGGCCGGGTATTTTTGTTGCACAAAGAGCAGCGCTGGGCTAAATGACATCAAGCGCGAGAGTCCCACCCAGATGAGATGATTGCAGGAGGGACTGCATGGGCAGGCAACGCACGGTGTTACGACACATGCTCCTGGACCGTTTTGGCAAGGGGAAAAGACAAAAGCCATTATATAATGACCTACTTGGAACAAGGACATTTGTGGGATCCGAAACAAAGTGCTGCGCTTGTGCAACAGATGTCTTTGGGCCCCGACTGAAGAGTTTGCATCCAGCCCAGGAACATTTGTCGCAGAGGAAAGGATGCTGCTTCCCTCTTCAGGTTGGAATTAGACACTATTGTTATTGGTAGAGAGGAGCTGTATACTTGTCTTGTTAAATGGAATTTTTCCGCAAAAAACAGCATGCTATGGAAAGGAAGGGTCCATATCTTCCTCCTCTCCATAACCCCCTCCCTATGGGGAGAGAGGAAAGCACTTGAACATGTTTTCTCCAATGGGCTTGAGGATTTTTGGCTGAGTAAATAAAGAGAAGGGGACTCACTGAGGATACAAAGGAACGAAAAACAAAGATGACTCCCACAGTGCTCCACCACTGCACAGTCCTCAGGAAGCAGCTCTGCCATCTTCCCTGGCCTGTGCCAGAGCCCTTCCCTTGGACTTTTCAGAGAATGCGCCTCACAGAGGTCCCATTTTAGGAGATCACGGCCTTATTTCCCACCAGGCATCAAAATAATCACCACAGCAAAGCTGAAGTCTGAGCCACTGTTTGTTAATTGTGAGAGCCAGCCAAATTTGACAAAATAACAGCCGTGTCCTGGGTTAATGCTGGTTTAGTCCAGGGTACGGTTATAACTTCATAAACAGGAAGCTCTATAGTAACAGTCAAATTAGATTTCTTTTCCTGCCTTATCTATCAAGTCCACCATTTTATTAGCTTTCTACTTTTAAATTTTGTATAATTCATTTCCTTCTGCCTTGTAACCCTTTTAGATGTCAATAAAATATCCATTCTACTAACAGGAGAAAAAACCCTAGAGATAAGCAAAGCCAGGGTGGATGTAGCCTGACGCCAAGAGGGCATTATTTAAGAAGGGACTATTAAAAATCATTCTAGAGCAAACAGTTACCAATTTACCTAAAAGGGATAAATCTGTCTTCTAAAATGGCAGGTTGGCCAATGCATGAAACTGAGAAAAGAAGTTGGAAAGAGATCAACAGGAAGCCATTTTTCTCTCTCTCTCTCTGTTTGTGTTTTTTTTTTTTTTTCCCCAGCGTTCTCATTTTTTTTTTCCCCAGCCTTCTTAGGATAAATACAATATCCCATTAGCTGCGTAGAGGAGTGCAAACAGCGAGTGCAAACACAGCCCCTGCCCTGGTGGCCTGTTTGCTTAGCTGTGCTGGCTGTTTGAGCAGCAATAGATTCATTCTGGAGCCATCAGCTGCTGTTTGCTGCAGCGTTTTAGTGACCTGTTGTGAAGAGTTTGGGCCAGTGTGTTGACGAATGCCTTTTCTGAGTAAGAAAGCTCCCTGGGATAGTCCTTGCTTCCCTTCTGGCTTTATTCTCTAAGCCAGGCACTGGCCATGCCCTAGCACTCTCCCAGTCGCTGCAGTGGAGAGGGGAGTCTGGCTGGATCCCTGGGGACATCCTCACACAGATGTGACTGTCCCTTTGGCCTGTGGTGGCGTCTCAGAGGCTGATACTACATGACCTGCACCTGGTGCCTCTCCCGGTCCTCAGGCCTCCCAAGAGGCATGGATCGTCCTGCTCTTGGCTGGAGAGCGGTCTGAGACACAGATCAGGAAGAAACACTTCTGCCC